TCGTCTGGGCATGGTACCGATAACCCCCGATAAGCCCTGATATGAGCTTGGTCACGCACCTACCACCCGTGTAAGATCATTCGGGATAGTCGGATGCCAGTCAACGCCTGGTAAACATGTGGAATGGTGGTAAGAGGGCAGTAAGATTTACGTTCGGTGCGTGAGGAAAAACAAGAGATCATGGTTGCGTGTGTCAGGTGTTTAGTGGATCGTGCGCTTTAATGATGCACAATACGCTCTTAGAAATATCTGTTTGCGAGAGCCGCACATGCTCAAAGACGTACAATGAGGACTTGAGCTTCAAAATGCACTTGCGAGTGTTGTAGGTGCACCATGTACGTGTGTGGTCATAACGAAAGACAAGCAAAAGAAAAGAGACCAAAAGTGTACCTCTTTAACGTCAGCATATGGACCAGCATTCAGCATTCCTTGCGAAGGTGAAAGCTATGACGTGGGTTCATTGTTACTTAGCGAGAGGGGATTTATTTTGTTCATATTGTATCATGTGTTAGCAGGTTAACTGACGAAACAGAACCCAGAAACAGTAGTTGCTCGGTATCCTGAACTTATTTAGATGAGGAGATTGCTTAAAGGGTCAATGATGGTCATGGCAACAACATGACTGGTCTTAGAATACACTAGATGCATGCACCAGCCTTCTCTTGAGGCTACGTTTTACATTGTGCATGCTCGTTTGTCAATAAAGGATTTTTTGTGAAAGCGAAGGAGAATCACTCTGAACAGTCGACCAGGTTGGGATTCCTTGATAAGAAGAGAATTGCAATGGTAGCGTCAGGAGCTGTATTTTTGGCAAGGGCTTAAGCTCATTAAAGTTCTATCATGGCGAAACAAATCCATTATGTGCCTAGGGTCTGAGCCCCATGGGCACGGGGGCGTTAAGCTAAATATACATCAAACATACACGGTTGTGACATAGCATAATTTGCCGGGCTACCCACGCAAAACGATACGAATACACCATGCCAAAAAATAGGAATCGCATGTAAGCAGCGGCGAGGGCAAACGGGCAGAGATATTTTAGTGAGTGGCGTCAGTCTCTGTCACAGTCATGTCCTCGACTTGGCTCTTTCGTCGAACTGCCGGACGCTTGGTACAGCATTAAGTGCGAACCTGCCATCATAGAACATGCGCGTTTTTATTCATGTTCGCTATAAATCAAAATGCTCGGAACAAACAAAATGGTTCAGGCTCTGGGCCCAATGTTTCCAGCAATGAACAGCTTTCAGGCGCATAACTTAACGCGCGCCCGGGTGGCCGGCTACATACCCTTTGCTGTGAGTGGGTGGAAGGGGGTCAATTTGAACCTTCCCTGATAACTCGAGAACTAAGAAAGCTAGAGACACCAAATTTACAGGGTGTATTGACCTGTGCGTGAACTCACTTAGGGCAAACTTTCAGGTTCCTAGGTCATAACCTTTGGGTCAAAAAAGGTCAAACAATGTCAGGTTCCAGGCTGGTCCCCAAAGTGCCCCCAGAACCTAGATAACCGTTTCTAAGCAAAAAGCCAGGTCCACATTTAAGGTCAGTGACCTCTTTTGACCTTTTCTAAGGTCAAAGTGACCAAAATCATACAATATTACTTTGAGTTTTGCATTTGACCAAGTGACAAAGATTAGGCTAGACAGTATGTTCCTAAAACAAAATGTTGACCTGGGTCATTTTAGATCAATGACCTATTCTAGCCTATAAAAGGCCTTGGATGATGTATAATACGGTTCCCGCTGTCAGTTAATTCGAAATGAGCACCAAAAACTATCCCATACAGCAAGCCCTAGAGAAACAAAACAGGTTGGTTTTGACCTTGTTGTGACCTTCATATCTGACCTTAGGTCAATGTAATATGCTCATTCAACTATTTTGTTGCCTAAGAAAGCATTTCAGAGATGTATGGCTCCGTCTAACACTCCGTTGTTAGATCAGATTAAAGGATTCCCCAGAAATTGCCTTCGCTGAAACCATGGCCTGACTTTGACCTGCCATAGGTCAGCGATCTTACAAGGTAAATCTAAATTTGTGATGCCCAACGATCTGCCATTCAATTATCAACAACTGCGCAAAATTTGGCGAGGGTGCGCCACGTCGTTCGGAAACCATTTTGGGAAAACTTTCGGGGGCTCAGTTTGACCCCCACCCGGGCGCGTGTTAATTTCCTCTCAGCATACACAAATAGTTTCACATGCCTCGAGCTCTGCCATCAATGCGATAACCTGCTTAGATGCCACTCGAACTGGACCGCACCAATGCCGCGTCAAGTCTCCCACCAGTTTCTACCCCGTTCATAAATGACCGAAAGTGGAGGAAATATTTTCATCGTCAGCTATTCGGTTCGTTGTTCTACTTTTTGTCATAACGGCGCAGGACCATGCAATGGTTTGAGTAGTATGTTCACTGATCTCCTTGTATGAGATTAGGAACTGCGGGGTTTTGTGTTGGGGAAAAATATGGAAGGAATCACTGCTCTTCCGTTATCATGTATCGAGCGTCGAGATTTCTTGTCAGTCAAAATACACACCAATGTTTGCTTGGTACCGATGCTTTCTGCACGTCATTTACCAATATCTCCTGGTGTGACGGTCGATTGCTTTCAGCTCAAGTGCTCATAACTCATAACAGCATAGGGACGGAACATGTGACGATGCACAGTAAGCCTGCGCGTCAGTGGGAGTCGGGTCACAATCACCTGCCCAGCAGGAAACGAGACCGTCAGTCGAAGAGCAGTCTAGTCTAATGAAGCGTCGTGTCTGGAAGCTAAGACTGGACGGGCGAAAGGCAGCTGCGCAATACGATACCAATCTTTTCGGAACACCGCAAAGATGATTGGCATAAACCAAAGCAGACCACTGCATTGGCCAACACTTCAATGGTGGTGGGAAAATATCGCGTGGCACCTGCGGTGATAGCGAGTTACCGTGGAAGTTGTCTCAACATGGGTCAGATCATGCGCCAATTTTTCCATGGCTGTCAATTTATGATCAAATATGGGATATCTGTGAGCACTTAAATGCTTTCGGCGTATCTAGCATAAAAACTTCGTCGTTAGGCATCGTGATAACGGAAGCCAACAGCATTAAGTCTCGGCATATGAGTCTAATGGTGTGTTAAATTGGGTGTGACATTCTCCATTATCATGAATAAATAGGTAAATACTGATTGCTGGGAGTCCCAGCTGCTGTAAATCAACTGGCAAAGATCTGGAGCAAAAAAAAAAAAGAAGAAGAAACAGTTGGAGCCCGTCAAGTCTGAGCCTGTCGACTTTGAACTCGTTCCAGTGTCGCAGGCCACGCGCAAAATTATTTTGTGGAAAATTCCAATGTTTTATTTTCTCCGCTTGGCGACTGGAAATCCACATTCGGTTTGACACCTGAGGGCCTTGGCAGTTCATCGATGCGGCGCGTGCGACGGTTTGTAGGTTACGCCTCAAAAAACCGGAGCGAGCGGACGCATGGAGCAGTTGGACAGGCGAAATCGACCCGGAGGTGCCCATTCTGTGGTGTCGAGACATTAGTGCTGAACTATTGCGGTCGACGGGACCACGCGGCAATAGTTCTACCCGAGATTTGTTCTGCTGAGAAAAAACTTCCATTGCTGTAGCGTAGTGTTACAAAACTTGCAGTGCAGTGGCGTAATGTTACAAACCGTGCAGTGCAGTAGCGTAGTGTTACAAAATGTGCAGTATAGCGGCATAGTGTTACAAAACGTGCAGTGCAGTGGCGTAGTGTTACGAAACGTGCAGTGCGGTGACGTAGTGTTACAAAACGTGCAGTGTAGTGGCGTAGTGCTACAAAACAAGTTTTGAGACTGAGCAGGGGAAAACGGCTGAACCTGCGCCAAAGTGCATGAGTCATGGGGTTTGCCCAGAATCTGACCCACTTTATCACAGATGAATGCTCGATGTGGTTACCGACATAAAACTACATTCTTGTCTGATTTTCGCTAAAGCGCGACGGAATTTCTACTGCAATGACTTGCGTAAAACTCATGCTACGCAACAATACGAATGATTCGTAAGCACACCCGTCATTGAGATTCTGTCACCAAAACAACACCAAAAAAAGAACTACAACCAGAACTCAGTATTTCAGTAGGAGTACTGTCGGATATACGAAAGCGCTGCACAAGTGTTTGCAGTGGAAATAATGCCGCGTATAATTTTTGAACCATAATGTTTGTTGTATAGCACCAATATCGCGTTGAAGCGTGTCGTAAAAATCCTGTCGTGCATAAGGAACGGCTGTTGTAAGTATGGCTGGCCATAAATAATGTTGTAAGTTTTTGCACTAGACGTAAATGACAAATATAAGCAAAGGCGGGTATGAGTTTTTGAAGCATAAGGCGTGGCACAAATGCCGTGCAAAGGTGTTAGATGCAGAAGTAATGTCGCACCACTCTTGTCGGCTGGAGTCTTTGCTGCAGCAGTTATATCGTGAAAACCCTCTGCAGTAAGGGATTCTGACGGCATCACTCGCGCAGAGACTTATGGAATGGTCATCGCCGAGAATCCGTGGCAACATTAATCAATCTACCATAGCATTTTCGACCTTACCAAATGAAACGCTTATCATGCAGCTTGAATAAGGTTAGAAAGAAACCCCGCACAGCTACGGAATCGCTTATTTCCCCAGTCAACATGCCCCGAGGGGCTGCGGGTGGCCCGACAGCGCACCTGCGCGGCCGCTGCCCCATCACAGCAGCCGGGCCCAAGTCTCCATCCCAGAACCTCCGCCGCTGCCGGCCAGGTAGTGGCGCACGAACACCAGCCCACACATCTCACTCCCAGAGCAGATACAAACTTAACACCAATTTTCAGCAGCAGCAACTATCTCTCTTAAATATATCAAAATCGCTTCAAGCTCCTGCTGGCAACAGATTAGCCTGATTTGCCGTTCCGACGCCTTTGACAGAACTACTTTCTGGCGGAGGAATGCGGTTCAGCCGTGCAGTCAGCTGATATGCCTGCGAGGCGTCACTCGTGGCTCGGAGGCCGGTGCGAGGGTGTTCTGCGGCGCGGCGCGCCTGTGGTGTGGCGTGCGGACGCGGGGCTCGTGACTTTCGGTGCGAGGTGCGGGGCCCGAGCGTCTGCCAGGGTGCGTGTGCGTGCGGGGCGCAGACATGTGCGCCGACTCGTTCCCGCGGGGCGAGCGGAGGTGATCCTCCTGCGTCTGACACGCAGCGGTCGGAGCCTGAGACCATGTCCAAGCCGGACTGCCGCAAGTTCTCGCCCAACATCTTCAACAAGCAGAAATGCGCCAGCTGCTTCAAACACAAGGAGGAGCACTCGGCGGAGGCGCTCGACTCGAATCGAGTAAGTTGGGGTTCGAGTGAGAGGCGGTGGTGGGTTCGGCTCCTGCGGGGACAAAGTGCCGCCGGCAGATTTCCTTGCGATAGGTCAGTTGACCGTATGAACCAAACCATAGGTGGGTTGGTTGTCGGGCGGGGCGCCCTGTGAGGGGTGCGCACTCAGTGCAGATTAAAAATGTCAGAATTTTCAAAACAAACAAAACAAGAAAAATGGTCGAATATTTGTGCGCACAGCACTGGATCTGTACGCAGCATTTTGGCCGCGTGCGCGTGAAGAAGATCGGACGCACCGAGCAATGGTTTTTCATCTTCATCCGCGCACAAGTACGCGGGTATTCTGCTTGGTATATCGCCTATCTAGTTACCAACCGTTCCACCTGTGTGCTGCGAGCGCTCTGCTGTGTGTTGTTGACGGAAGGCTCTTTAAGAGGTCAGTTACACGAGGGCTCGGACTGCTGGGCCACGGCAGCGCTTCAGAGATGGCGCTGAGGCACCGAGGGCTTCGTGGGCTGATCACCTGTTTCTGGAAATCACACTCAGTGTCTCGCGATAGAGAGAAATGAAAATTTGTGGGTAAATTCAGCATCTTGAACGGGGTGCCAAGGTCGATGAGGCGTCGCGGTGAGGGCCCTTCATCATCGTGAACTCCTTTTAGCTCGTAGGTTTTCCAAAATTCTGGCTGGCTCCGGCCGCGATTCCGCCCCCACACCGGTATGTAACTTTTTATATAACGTGTGCCGACCGAAGCGTCATGCAAAGGCTTACGAGCATTGGCTGACTCGGACCTCCTCCAAATACATGCAAAGTTTCAACCCTGGCAGTGACCTAGTTTGTTGTTTGTTTCTGCAGCAACGCCTGAACGACTCAGTAGGTTTTAAAGAGGCTTGGGCCAATGACAAAATCAGGGCAAATTTGACAAAATCTGATGGTTATGTAATACTCGTAAAACGTGATGGACATTCCTTTGCGAGGGTGCCCGGCCCCGATTTCTGCACATTATGAGCTCACATATACGTTTTGTCGAACCTGTAAATATCCACAGAATCCTGGCAACGCGGTGCTGTGCGCCAATAGCGCAACATTGCCGACATTTTCACAGAAGCTGTAGAGTCATGGTTTTGTACTGATTGGCGGGTACGTACGGTGCCGAGAGCACGTGATGAGTTATGGCGCCGCGCTTGTACCGCCGGTACCGCGGTGGGTAATACTTTCTTTGCTCCTCATCTGCGCAGCATCTGCATACGAAATCAGAACTCCGCTTGCCATGAGTTAGCTGTATGAGTTAGCTGCATGAGTTAGCTGTATGAGTTAGCTGTATGAGTTAGTTATATATGATGTACTAACGCATCGAACTACAGGTGTCATGTACCACACCATGCCATCTGCGAGCAGTGAGGTAAGCGTGAACTCTGATGTCCATGTGCGGTTAAACGACCCGACGATTGTCGGCCGGCAAAAGCACTTCTTGGGCAATTACCCTAGTGAGCGGCAAAATGTTTCACAAATCCGAGTATATGTGTGAGCTGGACCCAAGTGTCGTCCAAAAAACAATTTTACCTCAAAATTAAAGTCGAGTTGTTCATGTCTGTCCATATACTGCGCAGGGCACCTGGCTTTCAGCCGTCTGTTTGGGCGAAACCTAGTTAATGATAGCAACGGCCGCAAGCTTTTCCAATGGTTGTGGAGAACAAGTAAAACATTTCTGAAAAGCCCTCTGTAGCGTGCCCCCAGCAAACAATGCGAAATGTATCGCATGACGTAAAACATTGGGTGATTCCAGTCCGCGTCCTGACATATCTGGATCAATTACCTGAGGACATCCATTTCTATGCGTATCTATGCACAGCACAAGTTGCTAAACGGACTGGGTGGGGAGGGGGGGGGGGGGCGCAAATGCCCCGTTATCTCTCCTTGGATGCGCCACTGGTCACCGTTGCAACAGACATGGCTCAGTGCAGGTGACATTTACCATACCATTCTTACATACTTCCAAAACCAAGGTCTCGGCTTCTGCATCCGCCTGTTACGGCTGTGTCAGCTCCTTTTTCCTTGCTTCTTTCTCCTCACAGCTCGTTCTCTCCACACCCCGGCTTCTGCCGCTCACCTCTCCCATTCCCATCTTCTGACTCACCGCTGCCAGCTCCCCGCTGAACCCCGCTCCCTTTGCCAGCTCCCTGCTGAACCCCTGGCTTCCGCTGCCAGCTCCCTTTTGAAGCCCCGGCTCCCGCTGCCAGCTGGCCACTGAACTCCCGGCTCCCGCTGCCTCCTGTCTACGCTCGCCACGGCGTAGCTCTTCAACGAACACCCTCCCTTCACCCCCTCGTGCCTGGCCTGTTTCGCACCCCTTCTCTCGCCTCCCCATCCCGCTCCCCGGCCTCGCCTCTCACCTCTCCACCGCACACCAACCGCACCGATCATCACTCCGCGGCGTCCCTGAGGAACGGCCGGGCGCTGGTGGCTGCTGCCCCGTCCCACTCCGGCGTCGGTTCACAGGTGGGTTGGTCTGTGTCACCCGGGCGGGGCGGCGCTTCACCTGGCCACGTCACCTGACCGTGTGAATCCGTCCTAAGGTCAAAGGGATTCACATGTCGTGCCCGGCACCGGTGTTACGTTAAAATTCGAGACTCTTGGGGAGCGCGTCCGTACCGGCGCTGCCGGTGCCAAATCTCCGCTGGGCCCCCGGCGGGCTGTCGGCGGACTCCGGGCTGCTCCCGGCCGACGGGCTCCGAGCTCCCTGCAGGCGGGCTTCGGACTCCCGGCCTGCGGGCTCCGGACTCCCGGCCTGCGGGCTCCGGACTCCCGGCCGGTCCGACTGATCGCCATCCGGTAGGGCCGGGGTCTGGCTCCGGATCCCCGTGCGCTGCGTGGGTCCTCGGCCGTGCGCTGCGTGGATCCTCGGCCGTGCGCTGCGTGGATCCTCGGTCGTGAGCTGCGTGGATCCTCGGCCGTGAGCTGCGTGGATCCTCGGCCGTGAGCTGCGTGGGTCCTCGGCTGTGAGCTGCGCTCACCACCGAGCATCGGCTGCGCGCCTCGCCGCCGGCGGTGGGAGGGGGAATGGGGATGGATGATGCTGAAGAATCGAGCCGCCCCTGGTTTGTTTTTTGGGATGGACAATTGATACGATGTCGAATACGTTGTGCGCACAATCATGCTGGATGTGACGCGAAGGAACTCTCGATGCATTGAAGGCACCGTCCTTGTTAATTGGTGGCAAGGTTCCGTACTAGTGCACGCTTGGTAGCCTCGCCAGCTCCTGGGCGCTGGCCTTGCAGATCGCAGACTGAGCGCCCGAAATTCACACGCCGCTCTATCTCATGCGGACTGTGTGTAAGATCTGAAAAATCTCTGGCTGGGCGAAACTGACTTTGAAATATGCTGCATACGGGCATTGTCGAAGGGTTTTGCACATCGCAAAGTAAGGTAAGGTAGGGTTCGCCACGGCGGAGACGTCCGCAGGGCGCTGTGGGGATCACCCAAGGGCGGCCGCATGCAGTAATTGCCGCTGAGTCACATGCCTGCTGCGAACGGCCGCACTCTGCGGTCGGCGGGAGCGGGCATACGCTCGTCAGCGCTGGTTTGCGCTCGTCAGCGCTGGTTTGTGTTACCGCGAAAGGGGACTGCGGACTGGCCACAGCCGTCCCGACCGCCTGCGCTGTTCGCTGCGGTCACGCCGCGGCCCCAGCGAGCGGCGCAGTGGCGCTGGGCGTAGCGTAGTGGCGTAGTGGCGTAGTATTGTGCTCGGCAGGCCCGAGTGCGATTGACAGCTGCGGCCGCGGCCGCTGGTCGGTATTTTGTCGAGTGTCCCTACTGCGCTGCGCTGCGCTGCGCTAACATTTGCTACGCGTTTCGTACCGAAGGAAGCGTCCCGTTTGCCAGCTCATGCGTGCCCAGCTGTTAACCCAGTGTTTCGGCCGGACCTCGTCCATCTGGATGACGTCACGAGCCTGCGAAGCTCTCGCACTCGGCATGCTGTGGCAACGCGCAGCACGACGGGTGAGTGCCCCCAGGCGCTGTGGGTCTCCGGGCTGGGCGGGCCTCGCGGAGCGGGCGAGGGTGGTCTGCGGTGGACCGTGACCTCTGTGGGGCTTTCTGAAGCGTCTCGCGCTGATGCGTACCGGCAACTTTGGAGCAGTGGTTGTGGTGTTACCTCGGACAAGATTGGAATGATGACGGCTACAAAAGACGCGCCTGTGTTTCACACGCGTCGTAATGTGATTACCTTTGGGCCTTGAATCCTTCGATATAATGCCCGGAAATCTCTCAGTGGGTTTCGATGGGCATGAAAGGTGCTTGCGTGTTTTTCCGACCAGGTCAATGACGAGGCTGATGAAGAATAAGAAACGTTGAGTGTGGACAGTATCTATATCTATATTTGTATCGGTATCTGCAACCGGTATTGGGTCAGCTGTTGAATGTTCGAGGCTGGACGAGGAATCGCCACCATCAGAATGGAAAAGCTTACACAGCACACTCGCCTTCCTGACCGTCCTCCCCACACTCTACCTTCGTGACCGTCCTCCCCATGCTTTACCTTCGTGACCGTCCTCCTGGGAGCACATCCATGTAAGCACAGCTTCTACTCATGGGTGGATCCCAGGGGAGCGGCATGGGCCGTGACCCGTCCTAACACCAACGAAATTTTGAAATTCGCTTCATTTTCCTTTGGTTTCGTCGGTGTATTTGGTTCCACTTTCCAAGCTCGTCCCTCCTCCCCCAAACCACACTTCATTCCCCGGAGTCGGCTGCGGGATGCGGCCGTGTTCCCACGCCGCTGCACCGTGGCCGGCGCGGAGTGACGCGGCGGCGCCGTACCGTAACGGACGCCGCTCGCCGGTGCGGCCATCTCCGGCACCGCCTCCAGCGCCGGCCCGGCGCGACGGGCCCGGCAGGGCCGGGCTTCACAGAGGATGTCACCCGACGCGCCAGTTGGTGTAGGCCTGTCGGCGGTCGACGGCGTTTTCATAAGGGAACTTGGGCGACGGACCCCAGTACTTACTTGCTCTT